ATAGAAGTGAGAGGAAAGTCTCTAGACCTGTTTGACCAATCTGCGCATCTGGCTTTCTCGAGGTTGTCTACGATGGTCTATCTGGAATTGATAAAGTGATGGCAGTATTTCCTTGGCTCGTTGAGTTTGGCTTGGTGGAGTTTGGGGCCTGTCTTACTCCTCTGCAACTGTGCTCTGCTCGCTGAGTCGGAGTTCAGGTGGGTCATCGGCAGTGATCGTGTTTATGTGGTGTTGAACGCAGATCACTCGGCTCTGCTCTGTCTGGATGAACTTGGACCTACCTGGCACTGGCGAGCCAGGGAGGCCGGCGTCAAGCAGTGCTCCTCTTCTTGGGTGCATTATTTATACTCCAAAGCTTATCCACAAAGGTCATCGCTTGGATGGTGCTTGCAGGTTCCACGGGACACCAGTCTTCTGGGCAGCTCTTGGCTTCCAGCTCGCTGGGGGTCTGTCTGTGCTGCGTCACACTGGTGCAGCTTCGTAGGTTTAAGGTTCTGAGTAACCGTGTGCTTGAGAGAAGCTCTGTGCCAAAAACATTTCCATTTAAAAGGAGGGGAAAAAAAAAAGATTCCAGTACCTCAGTTATTCTTGACTAAAAAAAGCGATGCATTTTACTAGAGGTGTGTTTCTCAGAAACTAATTTGCATAGATTTCTTCACTGCGTTCTGTGGCTGCTTGCTGTAAGTGGATACATCTAGAAGGGCAGAGGGCGTAGGAAGTTCCTGTGCTGCTTGGGTCTGGGTGCTGCAAGTAGGGATGCTTCACGAGGAATCAAGTCCTCCATGGGGGCTGGGGTTGCCGTTGGGGTTAGTCTGCTGTAAGGGTGATAAAATCCCTATTTAAAGAGGAGGGGGTTTGTGGCAGTGGTTTCAATTAAAATGTTTTAAATATCGGACTGAAAGTAAACATTGAGGGGCTTTTTACTGTTTTGTTGAACTTTAGGCACAACAAGTCTAGCCTACCAAGCTGCTCAGGCAGTAGGCTACTGTGAGAATAATTCAAACTTTGAGGAACTGATCTCTTTTCTTCCAGTTACAAAATTCCTGTGTGGTGGTAGCACAGTTGTTTGTGTCTCTTGGCTGGGGCTCCCGGGTGCTCCTGTGAGTAATTATCGGTAGTACAAGCAGTGCTGAGTGTGGCGGGGTCCTCCGGATTTCTTTTGTACGCAGGGTGAACGGGGTCCTGTGGGGTGCTCTTGATAAAGATGTCGTGTAAGAGATGAGCTAATTATCAGTTTGCTAATATTTAAACGGCACTTTTAAGGGCAGGCCTGTGTGGGTAAAACCAAGCACAGGAGCGTTGGCGTGGTGGTCGTTTGATGCGGCTACCATGTGGGCGCTGGCTGGGAGCGTCTGCCCAAGGGTGCCACCGCAAGTGCTGGGACAGAAGAGCTGTTTCCTGTCCTCGCGCCGGCAAGCCTGAGCGCTGGACAGTGTGTGTCAGGTGGTGACTGGAAGCTTTGTCTTCCTCTCCGAGTTCTCTGCTATATCGCCTCAAAGCTCACGGTTATGTCTCCTCGTTAAGCACTTCTCTACCAGAGAAATTAAAATCTGCAGAGATGCGTTGTGCTTTGTGGAGATGCTCAAGACTACGCTGGACATGGCAACCTGATCTAATTAGGTCTGCTTTGACTAGGTTACTTTCAGCAGTCTGTTCCAATATGAATTATTCTATGATTCTGTCATTAATGCAGGAATTGATAAGTGACATATGCTGTTTGGATTCTGCAGAAATAGAACGCATCCTTTATAACAAGCTCAGGACACTCATTTAGGCGTAATTGCTGCTCATGCTGTAGATTTTCTGCCTTAAAACTGTAAGCTAAAGTGACTTTTGCGTGACCATACCTGTCCCCGTTATTTGTCCCTCTTTGTGTTGGTACCTTCTGTCAAAGAGCTGGATCCACTGCAAAATTACCCCTCTCTAGGGGCAGTGAAAGCAAAATATATACAAATTACAAATTCCTTAGCAGTTTTAAGTAGAGAGAGAGAGAAGCTCTCAGGCAGGGTAAGTTTGTATGTGTAGAACTTTGCTTTAAAACCAAACGATCTGTGCAGACTCTGTCCTCTTCCTGTCTCAAGAACAGCAGACAACAACAGTACCTGCCGTGGTAGATAGGCCTTGTGTGCCATTCTTAGAAGCTACAGTGGATGGTTTCCTGAAAAAGCCTTTCTCTGAGCAGTCTGTTACAACACACAGCTTGTGCTAGGCTAGAGCGACGTGACAGAAAATACCCACTGGGAAATTTGATCTATCTTTAGACAATGTGATCGATTCTTCTTTTTTATTATTTTTTTCCTTGCTGAAACTGGTTTTGCTAAGCTGGGCGAGGGGAGCAGTCACGTATTCTTTGTTGATACTGAGTTGTGCTGAAGAATTAAAATTGCTAAGTCATCTTAGATGTATATAGGTTCAGTTAATTCCTACACAAGGAGCATTAGGCAGAGGACATTAGCCAGTGCATCTCCTGCCAGAAGTACATGGAATGAGCAGAAACAGAAAAAGCAGTGATTAAACTTTGAAATCTAATAAATTTCACAGTGCTAAAAGTGTTTTGGTAAACTTGCATGCTCTCTTAATGCCTGAGTACTTTTTTGGAATATACATCTAATTTCTAAGTGTCTGAGTCACACCACAGAAATGGTTTGAGGTCTTGGATGGTTGCTGCCTAGTCTTCTGAGAGTGTATTTTGTTAGAGGACTAACATTTTGTCCAGGGGTAGCTACTTTTAATTTAGTAATTCTTCGTATTCTTCCCTGAGCTGAATGCCTGGCTGCAGTGCCCCATCCTTCCTTTACTGGGCTGAGGCCTCTGTCACACCTCTGCTGCGGACTTTGGAACAGTGCCCTGTCCCTTATCAACCTTGGGGCTGGATTACTGCAGCCCTGTCTACCAGGAGCTGCCTTCAGCGCTGTTTGTGTGTCGGTAGGTCAAGAAATAACCCACGCTGCCCGGGCCCGTACCACCCGAGGAGGCTTAGTCCACGCCGGCAAGAGACCTCGCGTGCGCTTCTGCCTCCGAACGCAGAGCCAGCTGCTGGTCCAGTTGTGTGACGCGGTGAAGGACATCAGACCCGTGTCCCCCAGGTCCTCCCCCGTCTTCGTAGCCAGCGGTTCTTGCTGTGGTCCTCGCAGCAGACTGAAGTACTGCAGACCTCAAATAAATGACAGGACACTGTCAGCAGAGCAGGATTTTGCTTCTAGAATTTTCTGCTGGTGTGGCGTATCCCAATAGCCTGAGCTCACTGCTCTGAGCAGATTTCTAGGTCTTGCTGATTAATTTCTGATTAGTGGGGCTATTACTTCCTCCTGCAGTCTGGCAGTTGCCCATTTTCTTTGAAGGGATAAGATCAGCATAGCAAAAAAATGCCTTATATTCCTTTGGATGATGGCATCGCCCACTTGTAGAGCACCTCTCTGTAGACAGGCCTGTGCAGTCTCTGCCGTATGCTGCGCACCAGGCGATTCTCTTTCGTGCTCCGATACAGCTTCCTTCCACGTGAGTTACTTTGAAGGCTGAGAAAGAGATTCTTGTATTTAAATGTTTCGAAGTGTGTCATTTTCACTCCTGGTGAAAGATTTGAAAAATTCAAAGGCGCTATTTTTATTTCGGGCAGGACAATACTTTGGTATGAAATTGTAGTGAGCTACTCTTTTCTTAAATATTCACAAATTACAATGTGTGGCTTTGACCTGCAGTAACTTTCTTTTGAGTTATTTTAACTAGTCTCAAAACTGGTAAAACGTAACAGATTTGCTAAAATCACTTTGCAAGGAGGAAGAAGTGGCAGTGCTTACACCCAAATGCTGCTGTCTTTTGGACAGCTGGGTTGGATGTCCTGACTGTAGAAAGCTATGGCCAAACCTGGTGCCTCATCCCAGCAGAACTCTTCTCGCTGCCTTGGTTTCTTGTGAAGTCCTCCGAGCATCCTCAAGCCACTTGATCCCTGAACGGTTCGTAGTGAGTGAGCAATGTGAGATCTTCCTGATGTCCTTTCTTGTCTCGCTGCTAGCTGGGGATGTGCTTTTCCTCATGATAGTCTAATTAGTGTGGATGTAGCTTATCGCTATAAATGTCATCCATCTTCTGGAGGATGCTGTTTGTGCTAGGACTTCGTGGCATTGCACGGTATGGTGCGGCTTTGTACGAGCCTGTACCGTAACGTATGGGTGGGAGGGTGCTTCAAACTGGGAAGATCCATGCTCTGACACAGTGTCTGGATTTCTCTGCTCTCCTCCAGAAACCTGCTCCGGAGCTGACCAGCCTTGCTTTGCACAGGAACACTTCAGCTGGTGCCGCCATTTTCCCATGGATGGAAAGGGCGGAGTGGTGGATCAGCTCAGGGTTGTTTTTTTTCTTTCCACAGAATGTCTCAACGTATCCACACAAACCTGTGTGTAAGCACATGAAAGGCTTCAGTCCTTTTAAGAATTGCAAGTAAATCCCAAAGTTCTGATTCAAATGAAAGCAGATGTTTCTCGAAGCTGAAACTTCAGAAAGTGCTTAATTGAGGTTGCACAGGTGACCTTGTTGATCTGTCAGCTCTGCTTGCAGCATCGTTTCTCAGTGCATTGCAAGAGGTGATAGTTGTGCAGCCGTGAGTGGATGAAATGTTGGAGTTACGTGGGCTGGCACAAGACTTACTCCTGAACGGGGGAGAGATTGCAGCCGACAGCTGTTGCTTTTCTTGAGCTGGAAGGAAGGAGGAAGGAGTCTGTCTGCAGATACAGAGCACGTTGCATTTCTTCCCTTTTGGAAAGTTACCTGTGCCACCAAAAGTTGGAAACTACATGCTGCAAGTTGCCGGGGGGGGTGTACATTTGCTGGCGGGGCCAAGTGGTCCTGTCCTGTGTGAGGGAGGGCAGAGAAATTGCTTTCTTGCTCTGACAAATGATCCCAGGTCTGTGGCTGGGCTCCAGCCTCTCCTCCTCAGCAGCTTTTAATGATTAACTTAAATATTTTTATAGTATCTTGAGATTTTAACCTCTGGTTTGTTTCCTCTCGGCAGGTGGAAGAACCCGAGGCCTTTATCTTCTGTCCAGCTTTGCCGTTCGGGTAGCCTCTGATTTCAGGCATCTCGTCATTTCCGCCTGCCAACCTGTCTGATATGTCGGGACCCGTGCCGAGCAGGGCCAGAGTTTACACGGATGTGAACACACACAGACCCCGGGAGTACTGGGACTATGAGTCGCATGTTGTTGAGTGGGGGTAAGTCTCCGGGCTGCTTGTGGATGTCCCTGGACTGGGATCAATCCCTGTCGGATCCGGCGTAGTGGTGCATGGGGGGGCTTGTGGCACCTGTGCTGCGTTAGGTTTTTCATGCTCCTTCCGTGTTTGCCAGTGTTAGGATTGCAACTTTTCTTCAGAAAACTGTTTCTTGTCAAAATTTTAAATCCCCAGCAGTACAGGAACACTTTTAGCAGCTTGCTTAAGAGCTGGGTTTGAAAAATTTTTGCCAGGTAGTCAGGAAACGTCCCCTTTCAGAGGGTAGAGAATCTTGTTCTGAAACAACCTAACCAGCCCTGGGTGCAGAGCTGAAAAAAGTGAGAAGACATCTGAAGTTGCTTCTGACTTGGATGATGAAGAGACTCAGCAGAGTTAAATAGGTACATGCTATTTTGTGACTTGTTGCTCAGCTCTCGGCAAGCGACTGGAAAAGACGTCTGCTCCTTTCTGAAGGAAGGAGCTGTCTAAACTGAGCTCATGACTAAACCGTCCAAGAATCAGACAGCAGTGATGCCAGCTTCATAGCTCTGCGTTCCTGCTTTTGTATGGCAGGGCCCAGACGAAGTTCTGCCCTCAGCTTTGTTTCTGAAATGTACACAGTCTTCTGAGCCGAAGTGCTGCCTGATGCCTAGTCTGTTTTTAAACAGGTTAGCACTTACATTTTCAGTCTTCCTGACTTTGTTGATTTTTAACAACATTATACAAGGAGAAATATAGCTTCCAAATATATATAGACATGTGGAAGGGATAGCTCCAGTTTGCTGATGCTGAAATGTGTGGTTTGGCTTATGTTACCTCCTGCAGAAGTAGTTAAGCTCTGGACTGAATCTGACTTGGGCGAGGAGAAGCTCCCTGTTTCTCTCCTAATTCTTAGTTGTTGCGGTCAGGAGATGTAAGACACCAGCTAATCCACCTTGGCTGGAAGGTGAGGCAGTGAGATTTAGTGTTAAGGAGAGATTTGTAAATTGTGACGGAAATGACTGAGCTCTTTGGAACTCTTAACTTTTTATCTCCACAGAAATCAAGATGACTACCAGCTAGTTCGAAAATTAGGCCGAGGCAAATACAGTGAAGTATTTGAAGCCATCAACATTACAAATAATGAAAAAGTAGTTGTTAAAATTCTCAAGGTGAGCTGGGGATTGGGCAAAAGATAGAATCCATCTTGAGGTGATCACGAGGCCAGAAAGTGCAGCGTTCGGTCTAAACTGTTCAATATTCTGAAACCAAAGCCCTTAAAGCCTGGCTTGGGAGCGTCATCCGGTGAAACGGGCCATCATTTTGAGCCTGCTAATAAAAGCCCTGTGCTTGGTTATTGAGTCACATCTCTGCCTGTAAGGAATTAGTCCCTATCTTAAAGAAGTACTGACGTGCAACACATTTTTGCTTGGAGCTAAACAACACTTCAGCAGCTGACTAGAAAATTCTCACCCCCTCTAACTACCAGTGCCCTGGCATGCTGTCATGTGCATAGAGGCCCATGAGCTCATGGGATCGTTGTTCCTTAAAGCCACTGATGAAATTTATGGACTGCTAACCTAACATTTTAATTTCTGCTCTGCGTGTTCCATTTCAGATGTAATATCATCCCAGATTGAGTAAGGGTCTCCTGGATGCTGGTTATTCCGCAGCTTTGATTGGTGAAATACTTCATTTAGTGGCTCTCCGATAGATCAGGGGTTTCTCGTAGTTGAGCATTTACCACGTGCCAGTTACAAAGTTTTTAACTATCAGGCCATGTTCAGACAGCTTTAAAAATACATGCCATGTTCCTAACCCTCACTCACATGAAACTGATGTTAGTAGCTGTCAGGTTTGTATGGTTAGAGAGGAGACTGCAGATGTGTGAGCCCTAACTGGAGTGATGCATAGTCAGGTAACAACAGGATCCGGCTGTTTGCACTGAACTTGCAAAGGCTCCAGTGTATTTTGCTGATGTGCAGTCACCTGCCTTTGTCAGCTGGGTGTTGAGCTGTCTGTTGGCCTCACCTTACTGGCGTGCTTTGTCTTACGCTTTGGGTTTTTATTCTTCAGCCTGTTAAAAAGAAGAAAATCAAGCGTGAAATCAAGATCTTGGAGAACCTGCGAGGCGGTCCCAATATAATCACTCTTGCAGATATAGTAAAAGATCCTGTGGTGAGTATGGAAGGAACTTGAAGGGCACGCTGGGGTTAGGGGTGAAGTTGCTGTGTTTGACTTCAGCTCTGATCTGGCTTTTTGTTTTCCCCTGCTCTTAAGTCCTGCGTTTGAATTGCTTAATCAGATCAGCTCTTAATCTGATTAACTTCTTTCAGAGGGCCCTTCCCCCACCGGTCCCTTCAGCCCCTCGCTCTGTAAGGAGGAGATAGCAGCGAACGGAGACAAGTTAATTCATTCTACAAACAGTGCTGCCAGGGGCCGCAGGCTTTGGCTCTGCTTTCGCTGTCTGAGGGGAATCACAAGCAGAGGGGCTTCTAGCAGTTTTAGGAGTAAAAACGCTTTCATTCACTATACTAAATGAAAATATGTTAACTTAACATGGCTGAACACTTTTCTCTCTGTTTTAGTCTCGGACACCCGCTTTGGTTTTTGAACATGTAAACAACACAGACTTTAAGGTACAGTGTGGGCTGTGAACTTGTAGTGTTTGTCATTTGAAAACCACCTGTAATGGTTTTTCTGGGGAAGGGCAAGTCCGTAGGGGGCAGGCAGGTCATTCTGTCGTTTCCTTCCAACATAGTAACTGTCTCTAAATGTAAGTACACCTGGGACAGAAGTTCATAATCAGTCCTTTATTATCATTTTGCCACAGAAGTTGCAAGGTGAGAATCCCGATTCCAAGTGGTGTTTTAACCCTTGGAGCAAATTAATCTGTTCTCTTGTGGACCTGTCTGTCTTAAACATTTTGCTTGTCTGTTCAGTGTGTAACAATTTGTTGGAACCACTTGAGATGTGGTTAGCTGTTTCTGTGGCTTTCCATAATTCTGGGGAAAGGGATTTAAATGTTGCTTTGTCCCCTTCCCTACTGACCTGCCTCAGGAGAAGAGTGGCTGTGCAATGCCATCTGGAATGGCTGCTTACTGTTGCAGAGCACCCTCGGTCTATTTGAGACCCAGTCTGCAGGCATGGTGCCTCGTGCTGGTGGTGGACGAGCGCAGCCTGGGGGACTTTGTGACAGGAACCAGAATGCACTGTCTGAGCAGAGCTGGAAGTCAACTGTGTATGTGATTCGTGAGGGGAGAGGAGCAGAGTGAGCAGAGTCAGGTGTGGGGTCAGAGTAACCCGGGAAACTTCTGCTGTTCCTTCAGATGGGTTTGGGGAACCACAGCAGCGGGGAACAGGGCTGGGTGGTTCTGGGTTGGCAGGGATGTGGTATTTTTCTGGGTGTTGAACACTGATACAGTGTGTTTGTGTCCCACAGCAATTATACCAGACATTAACAGATTATGATATTCGATTCTACATGTATGAGATTTTGAAGGTACGTTGGAGTTTTGCTGTTTTATCGGTTTATTCCTGGGATTTGCACTCAGCTAATCCTATAGAGATGGTGATCATGTCACGGATGGGGGGTGAAGGGAAGAGAAAGCCTGTGGAAGAATTGAGTAGAAGAATATATACCAAGTCAGTATCAGTTGTTCAGCCTTGTTTCTGCAACAGATTCTAGTCGTTTGTTTTTCTGAGCATGGCGGAGCCCTTGGGCACACCGAGATAACTTAAGATCCTAAATCAAAAGTATGTGTAGCCTCTGAAAACAGAAAATTGTAAGCTGCTGATGATTGTTTTGTGCTGTAATGTAATGTGAGTCAAATGTATTTCTCCATTCTTCTGAATCAGATATTGTCTGCTCAGGAGTCTGGAGGAGGGGAGGCTTGTTTGATCAATAGTGCCTAGCAACTCTGCTCTTAGGGACTCTGAGCTTCCATTTTTATGAGGAAGCATGAGGTGAAGTCAAAACACTCCTGTTGCTGGGAGCTCCCTTTGAGAGGGGGCTCTGGAGGCGTTTTCTGTGGTCTGTGAGTCTAGCCCGGGCCATAGCGCTGGGCACTAAAGTCTTGCCATCTAGCTAGACTTGGGGTGTGCAGAAATACTTCTGAATATGATTGAACTTGAAAGCTTCTTGTGACTCCAGCATCTGTGTCTCTTTCTGTCACCTGCAGGCTCTAGATTACTGCCATAGCATGGGAATCATGCACAGAGATGTCAAACCTCATAACGTCATGATTGACCACGAGCACAGAAAGGTAACGTGGGGTGGCTGGAGGGCAGGGAGGGGCCGGGCCCGCTTCTCTCTTGGCGACCTCGGGTCCCTTTTGAGTACTCCTGTGCAGTGGTACTAGCAGACGTCTGCAAGGGGGGGCTGTGCTTCCATCGTGTGGAGAAATGTGGAATGAAACTCTGTACACTGCTTTTCTTAAGCTTTTATGGGTTACATGTAACCTGTAAATAGCGTTGGTATGGAGAGGTGTTTTACTTAGACTGGTTGGTCATTATGGGTATGGGGAGAATATCTAAACAGACACTCTGATCAGCTCCAAATTATTTGAAAATAAAGACTTGCAAATGAAGCTTCAGACTCGCCTGTAGTGTGGTTCAGCCAGTGGAGAACTGGAGCATCCCTTCAGCCTTTTTTCTTTGTTTTCTACCATTTCTAGCTTAGACTAATAGACTGGGGTTTGGCTGAATTCTATCACCCCGGCCAAGAGTACAATGTCAGAGTGGCTTCCAGATATTTCAAAGGACCTGAACTCCTTGTAGATTATCAGGTAAGAATTACCAGGATTTATCACTGACTTCTAGATGGACAGTCTGTGGCATTGCAAGGTAGCAAACCAGAAATTCAGGTGTCTAGAGACCTAAAGCTAAAGACAGTCCGTTGTAAAATGTGTCGCAGAAAGGGGTGGCTATAAAGCCACCAAATTAAAGAAACTAGTGAGGGGTCTCGGGGCCCGAGGAAGAGCCGCCGAGCTGTCGTCGTGGTTCTTGGAATACAAATGTTGAATTTTTATATTTTCTTTAGCAAGGCTGCGTTTGCATTAAGGTACAGGAATGAAACAAAGCCCTTGTAGGAATAGCTGGTACTGCGTGAACTTCTAAATTAAGCTATAAAAACATCCCCATATCTGATGCAGTTTGCATTGTGGAAATGCTGTGGGCTGGAAATAGCAGTGTTACTGGTGACGAAGGCACCTCCTCACCTGCCCGTGTGCCTTGTGGAGTCCGCTCCTTTTGTTACTTGTCGTCGTGCTTCGCTCCTCGACCCGTGTTTCTCAGTGATTCACGACGTTAAGTCTGCAGTGAAAACAGAAAGAGGCACGGGTCTTTAATATCTTTGTGAGCAAGGATGGAAATAGGGTGCCTGCTGTTCTGCTAATTGCCATATCCCAGTTGAGTAACTGGAACGCTGAGCTGAACAGCGATCCAGTGATCCAGTGATGAAGATGCATGGAGATATTTCAGCCTGTTCCCAGCATAATGGGGCCGTGCTTGGATCGCTGGAGGGAGGGTGGAGTATTGGGAGCCTGTTCTGCTTCATTCATTAGAAATTCACTTGTCTTTCTGGTTTTGCACAGATGTATGATTACAGTCTGGATATGTGGAGCTTGGGTTGCATGTTGGCTAGTATGATATTCCGAAAGGAGCCTTTTTTCCATGGCCATGACAACTACGACCAGGTGAGAGCCGGTCACGTACAGTCTCTGTTCTCTTGGCACAGTGGGGGTTTCCTGCCTACACTTCTGTCGAGGGAGCCGACACAGAATTTAAGCATTTCTCTGATGGCCTCTTTGCTCAGTTTGAAGCCATGTTCCTTTTCTCAAGTGTGCAAGATTATCTAACCAATTTAAGCAGGAATAGATCGATAGTGCTTTGTACTTATGAGCTCCTCAGTAGGTATCGGAAAGGTTGTAACAGTAATTATAGCAAGGCTGGCGTGTTCTGGTGCGTAGATGGACTGTGGCTGAGGTTATGTTAAGTGGAAAGCCCCTGCCACTCTCCACCCTCCCTCCCCTCTGTATAGAAACTGAATTTGGTACAGTTTTATATAGGTTCTGAAATCTTTGATTAGGCCAAAATTTTTATACTTAAACCTTTAACGCATGCTCTGCATCTGACCAACGTGCAGACACGCAAGAACACCACGTGCGTGGTGACCTGCTGTTCTCCGACCTGCAGTCTGGAGCCCTCGGGGCTTGGTGCTTCACCCTTCACATGCAAGTTAGAGTTTCTGCTTTTTTGACCGGTTGCTTTTGTCTTCCCACCCTGTTGGTTTTGAATATTTTCTTGCTGCAAAGGAAGTTAGTGTTGCAAGATCTGGAGTTGTAGGGATGTTAGGGTGTGCAGCTCTCTCCTGGCTGCCTTGGCTTACTGAGTTCCGCCTGTGAGCGGAGGCATCTTCCTGATGGCTGAGCACTGAGATCAGTTCAAGCTCCCAAGGGAATGTGCTGCTGTACCTTCCCGCTGGCTCTGGCATTGTCATACCCTCGCAGTAGTGACTTACTCTTCTCTTTGTCCCCAGCTGGTGAGGATAGCCAAGGTGCTGGGAACAGAAGATCTGTACGACTACATTGACAAATACAACATTGAGCTGGATCCGCGTTTCAATGACATCTTGGGCAGGTGAGCTGAGGTTCAGAGCAGCTCTTGGTGGACCCGGACAGCTACTGCTTTGTCAGCAGACCTTGAAGTAAACAAAAGCTTATGCCTATGGGAGAAATCAGAGCCAAGATTCTTGAGAACTGTCACTCCTGCCTTCGATCCCTTTTGCCAGCGCTTTCCATGGTCCTTTATCTGCAAATGGACTTGAGGAAAGGTTTCTAAATGTCACCTAGGCAATAAATGAACTGCTGGAGCATACAGCATGAGGGGCAAACACTCTCCAGTATTCTGGGAAAAAAGCCAAAGTGGTATTTCTCAGAATTACGGTGCAGAAAATCAGGTGCTGCTGAAGATGGCATTTACATATTTTTTTCCATCAGAGTTATTTTGTGTGACACATACCAAAACTACAAGGCACTAACGTTGGGGGCATAGCAGAGCGGAAGCTGGGGTTTCAGGCCTGTAAATCCATTCTGAACTTGAGTCCTCACGCTGCCCGGGGCTGTGGTGGCCGTGCCACCGCGCGGAAAGACGGAGAACTGCCACGTGGTGCTCTGGTACGGCTCAGCCCCGTTGCGGCCGCACCAAGCAGCGGCCCCTCTCGGAGACGGGCATCTGTCACAGTTCTTGCTCTTTAAAAAAAAGTGAAGTTTGGCGCTGATGTCCCCTGCCTAGACTGATGTGGGTATCTCTTTCTGCAGACACTCCCGTAAGAGATGGGAGCGCTTTGTTCACAGTGAGAACCAGCATCTGGTGAGTCCAGAAGCTCTGGATTTCTTAGACAAGCTGTTGCGATACGATCACCAGTCACGACTCACAGCGAGAGAAGCCATGGAACACCCCTACTTCTGTAAGTATCAGCTGCTGTCCGGAGAGTTCTCCCTCTGCCTTTGGGAAATCTCTGTTCCAGTCATTTGCACAGACAGGAGCTAAGAACAGCAACATCATAAGCCTGGCCTTTGCAAATAATTGCGCTGGAGCTGAGGCTTCTTATCTCTGTGGTGGGTAAAGTAGGCCACTGCCACCTACACCAGCCGAGGGGACAGTGCTACGTTGCCCCGTCAGGGTGGGGAGTCAGCAGCGCTGCGCTAAAGAAGCTCTGCTGCGAAACCCCTGCGAATCTCAGCAGGTGTCTGGGTGCATGGGTTCCTCTGTCGTGATACAGCCAGGTGACTGGTTTGTTGGGAAACGGGCCCTGCTGACTCCGCGGGGAATGGTGTATTCAGGGCTTGGGTTTGCAAACCAAAATGTAACTTTCACGAGTAAATGTTTTTAAACACTTGCTGGTTTTCACAAATCTTGATACTTAGGTTTTTGCAACAGCTGTAACAATGGATAATATGAGTATTTGCTCAGTTACTTTTTTTCTTGCTGCTGAATGGACTTGTGTAATTAACAAACGGAATAGATCTGTGTTACGCCTGTGGCAAATGTTCAAGTGGAATGTTTTGCGAGTGTGAGCATTAGTCAAGCTGGAAGCTTGGAATGTGAGGGTTGGACAAAGAGCTAAATTAACTTGTGTCCAAGCAAGCTGTGTTAACTTGTGTCCAAGCAGAGATACGGGCATGAGGAAGGGCGACATTTGAAATTCCCTGGTCTGATGCAGTAGGCGTGGGAGGCAGGAAGGGGACATCTCTGTTCGGAAGGCAGCATTGTTTACCTGCAGCTGAAAATAAAGTGCTAGCGAGTAAATTGGGGACATCTTGCAGAAGACAACAAGCTGCAGTGACACTCATGACAGCTCGCGGGCTGCTGCGGGATGTGTGTAGAGACATGGCATATGATTGTCATTCGTGATAACCTTTCTGCTTGCAACACCCATTTTCTGGGTTTGGCTTTATGCAGTTGCTCAGCAGAGGAAGATCAGCTTCACCTTCACTTCCTTCAGCTTTTGCTGTCAGCAGTCCCACTGAACTCCAAAGCGCATGATTTAGCCGGCTTCTCACTGATCCTGTTACCTTGGTACCCTCTTGGGTGCTGCCCGCTGGAGCTGGTGGAAGCTGCTGCGTTCCGGTATCGGTGGTCGATATTATTTGACGTCCCCTGCCAGCACTGGCTGAGCGTGGAGGTCGCGGGCAGTCAGCGTGCGTCGGCTGCTGGCTGGCAACGCGGCCGCTGAGGGTAGTGTGCTCTTCCTAGATCCCATCGTGAAAGACCAAGCTCGGATGGGCACGTCCAACATGCCGGGCGGCAGCACTCCAGTCAGCAGCGCGAGTATGATGTCAGGTCAGTTCTGCTCTCGACTCTTCTTGCTGCGTGGCATTTTAAAGCGTTTCTACGCGCTGTGTGGGGGTGAGGAGCCAGGAGGGTGAGCCCTGCAGGTGGGGCGTTAGGTCATCTCCTGGGACCGATGAGAAGGGCAAGGAGGGCTACGCACCAGCGGGTGGGAGAGCGCCAGAGGTCAGGCCTCGCTGCAGCCTGACCTGCTTTTCTGGTCTCGTTTGAAAAAGCGCTTTGCAGTTGGGGTTTTTTTGGCAGCACTTTGAAGGACGGTGATCCTGCCACGCGTCTGCCCCTCGGTGACACTTGCACGAATCCGAGCTCTTCTCAGAGGCTGCGGAGAACAGTGACAGATCTTGTATCTCAGCTTACTTTGGCAGCTCTGAAAACGGAACAAAGCGGCAGCAAACCGACCCGCAAAGATGCCCCTCCCATCTGTCCTGGATAGCGATGCGCTGGTTTCGCCCTAACTCCTGCTTACCTGTCTCTCTCTTCCAGGGATTTCTTCAGTGCCAACACCTTCCCCCCTTGGACCTCTAGCAGGCTCGCCCGTCATCTCTGCCGCCACCACGCTGGGGATGCCCGTGCCGGCTGCCGCAGGCGCCCCGCCGTAGGGATGGGCTCTGTTCTGCTGCCTGGGCTGAGTCAGGTGGGGAAGAGGTCTCCCCCTCCGCCTCTCCTCGGGACGCAGCTCGTGCCTGGCAGGGGAAGGGAGGGGATGAACGCTTTGGAGGCACCGTGTCTGAACTGTTGCTTGTGGATTTATAGTAGTTCAGTCATTATATACAAAATTATTATAGGCTGATTTTTCTTTTTTTTACTTGAACTTTTCATAAATCAGGGGATTCCCTGAAAATACCTACAGATGGAATATTTCTCGGACAGTTTTTCCCTCCCCCACCCCCCCACCCCCCCCAAAAAAAAAGTACTCTTCATTTATGAACAAAGATGAATCAACAGCATTTCCAAGCTATTCCATCCTGCTGGAAATCTCTTCATGTTCCCACCATTACTCCTCCACAAGCCTACACCCTGGGGGATTGCGCTGTTCTCCAGAGACTGCCCAGCCAAGTCTTCATGGGGCAGGGGAGGGGGGGTCCGAAAGTACCGCCCTCTGTAACCCCGTGTGCTGCGTAGGACTCAGCCGAGGTACACTGAGGAGACAATTCCAGTACGGAGAGGTGGTTTGAGCTTAAAAGAAGTAAGTGCAGATAATGTCTGAAACCCCAATTGGATCGAATCATGTCTCCCTAGGAGCCCACCAGAACGCCAACTCACCCCCTTGCATGTAATTTTAGTCTTAAAAGATGAAGTTACTGGTCCGACTGGAGTCCTTGCCACCTCCCGAGAAAGGTGCTGCTGTAGAGTAAGCCGTACCCTGCTCCGCCCCGGTCTCGCGGAGGGTTCTTCCTGCCGTTGCTTGGCTTGGATCTCTGGAATTAGTTTGTTATTGGGTATATTGTTTTTAAATTGTTTATATAGGTTTCAAGCTGGTGGCTACTTAAAGCTGGAAAAATCAGACTGCGCCAAGTCCGATATCACATCTTCACCCACCATCCCCTCCCTCACGTGCCATGTGGTGAGAATACCAGTTACCTCACAGTCTTGTAAATATGCACTGAGAGGAAGGAGCGAGCAGACGTTAACTTAAACTGAAATGGTAGATCAGTAATTGTGGACAAATATTATCATTGACAACGGAAAAGCACCCTTGTTACAGCCCTGCTACCCCTTGCTGTGTATATATACTTTGTCCTTCATATGTGAAAGATCCAGTGTTGGAATTCTTTGGTGTAAATAAACATTTGGTTTTATTTATCGAGGTTAGATTGAAGTTCACTGTGTAGAGGCCTCCTGGGGGTGGTGGAAGGCACAGGAGCGGCGTGCTGGGGAGGCCGTGTCCCCATCCACACGCGCCTGGCATGGTGAGCAGGGCCGGGCAGCCGACACAGCGGTCCCAAGCCAGAGTGTCTCCTGGGAGAAGGATCTTTTGCCATAAAAACAGAAAACCCATCTTCTGTCTCAGCCCAGGTGGAGGGGGAGCCGAGACACTGACCCGATGCTCTGGTTTTTGTGTGTGTTGCCATTCCCTGGCTTTCAGTGACTTGTTTTCTGTCCCACACCGCTTGTGGGGCTCCAAGCACTGTGGCACCTGGCCATCTCCCTGAGCTCCCACCCTAAAGCCATCGCAGCAGGTGCTTGTCCTGGGCCTTGACTGCTCTCCCTGTTCCTCAGCCCTGGTGTCGGGCTCCTGCTGTCCTCGGAGCGCCCGTCCCTCCTTTCTTCTTCCTCGAGGGGTGGTGACCGCCTGCTTCCATGTCACTTCAGTGGATTTTGGAAGGTAGGGTGAAGCGTGTGGGCTGGGTTAAACCGCCTGAGGAGAAACGGGGCAGGAGAGCTGGAAACACGGCCGCTTTCTGTGAGGATCGCTGGTGGGGAAGACAAGGATTCTCATATTTTTCTCCTCCATGCCTTCATCCGGTGGAAATGCTCTGTACTTCATCGTTTATATCCCAGAACGAAGCGACAGTGGGACCGTGTTGGCTGTTACCTTGATGTGCTGTGGGGCCGAA